ACACAGACAACCTCTCGTCAATATGCGTTTTTTGCATTGCATTACTGCAAAAAACGCATAACAAAGATAGTCAAAAAATTTCAGCATAAAAATTAACTAATTGCTAACCGGAAATATGAATTCCGTGGAGCAGCGAGTTATGGACGGTAGTGGTAATGACGAATAATCCGGCAATGTTACGCCGTAGTGGTGTACCATCGTCTTCGCGGAACTGAATTCGCAACGCCCCTTCACCATTATCATCGAATTCGCGAAGCACTCGATTACCCATCAGCAATTCCGGTACAACAAGCAACGTCCGCGTTGGTGTTATTACAACCTTAACAACGAAAAAATTTTTTTCATATTACAGGCCTAACAACGTAAGATTTTTTTCAATTCATGCATTGCATTTTAAAAATAATTCACCAACTTTTTTGAGTGCCCATAACATTTGTTAATTCCTTTGCGATGATCAAGCTATTTAAGAGGAGGAAGGGGGCAGATGAGGAAGACAGGAAAGAACGGGAAAAGGGAGGAGGGGCGGGGGGCAAGGGGATCTGGTGAAAAAGAAATTAACGCTTCTCTCGTCCTGAAGGCTGAGAATTCGACTCCGCCAGTGAGATAACCAACTAATCTCTCCATCATTTCTTCATTCTGGATATGGCGTACACCAGGGATAAAAAATACTAAAAGCTTTTTTCTAAACAACTCGCTAAAGAGAAAAAATCGTCTACCGCCTTGCGAATTGATTTTTTTAGTATGCACTATCGCTCGAGCTATTCTTGCATGCCTCAGTTTCTCATGGAAAAAGGGTGTGGCTCTGTTTCTGGAAAAATTAGGATATGAATGTGCCGCGAAAATAAAACGCCTTCCCATCAAAAGAAATGGCAAAGGCACTCCTTTTTTTTACTATTTTTTCAGCAAGTTGCAGCTTCGCTCTCAGCAAGTAAAAAAAAAGAAGCTACTTCTGTCACTTGCGTGAAGGCGTAATTAACAAAGAAACAAAAATAAGATGGAATAAAAATAGTCAAAGATTAAATGGTCAAAGATTAACGGGGCAACAAAGTTATTCAAAAATGTCAACAAAGTTATTCAAAAATGTCTGAGAGTGAAGGGCAGACCAATGCAAGTGTTTCTTTTGTTAGTTTTTCCGGAGAATTAAGCAAAAAAAAAAAAAAGCACCTTTCGAACTTTCTGGAATCCTTCCTCGAAATCTTTGTCATAAATTGCGGCGAGCAATTCTCTTTTTTCGTAGATATTGTCGCACAGTCGTTTGAAACATTGCTCAAGCGGTGGAAGTTCTTTCATTTCATCAACCATATTAATCAATCGCTCAAGCACTTCCAGTGTTACCTACAGAAGCAAAAATTTTGAAAATTGTGCAGAGAGCACAGACATTTTAGGACTTCAGCGCCATAACTTCCTGTGCAATAACAAATAAGCACTGCTCCCACTGGAAAAGGCTCCGAGTTCAACCTCAACAATCATATGTCGCGGAATTTATTGCAAAATCCCAGCGAAAAGAATTGTAACAACATTCTTCCCACTGCCCAAGTTGTGTACCAGCCCACCCCCTCTCCCTTTCTCCGGGGTTACATCGTCCCCCCTCCCGCCCACTTTTTATGGATATAACACCCAACTTTTCCATACGCATTGCTACCGCTCCGGACAAAGATTATCTTCCTACGTCATGAAGTGGGCTGGTGTAGAATGAGGGAGAATTTAGGTATCGAGATCATTTACTAGTGGAAACGTTGTTGGAGTTTGGCTTTTGCCGACTACGCGCTGAATCAGCAATGCTGACGAACCTACCATGAGCACAAGGAAAAATTCTCAAAACGGGCAAACTTACCCGAGGATCTCGTTCGTAACCATCAAGCACATAATTAACAAACATCTCTCGCGATGCTTCGTTTATCTAAAAATAAAAAAAAAAAATAAACTACAACTAGTGGTTTTCCCCAAAAATATTAAATCACTAAAATCACCAAAACCGCCCTGACAAAAGGACTAGGAAACCAATAATTAATGGTATTCATGAATGCAATCATACGCTGTCAGTAGCTGTGCTAGGCCATTCAATTCCGAATAGCATATTTTCAAGCAGTATCCATCATCCGCGTTATGCATGTGCCTTTTCATAGATCGTCTAACGGTATGAATGTTCGTGTGCATTGGCGGATCCACGGGGGTGGAGAGAGAGGAGGGGCGACATAGTGACGGGGAAGGGAGACAAGGGGAGTAAAATCACCTAAGTCGTCCAACC